TCAAGATCGCCACGGACAAGTTGATTATCTTCAAAAGCCGCTGTCAGATTTCTGGAAACTAGATTTAGCATCATACTGTGCTCACACCAGTTTATAGCCACTAACTAAGAGTCATTGGTTAGGGGGTATGTAGTGAAGGATTATTAATTTTGTCAATTATTTATCAAGGTATAATCATTAAATCGTTTAACTACAGCACTACATTTTCTCTTTATAGAGGATGCTCAGTATTTATTTATTTATTTGCAGGCAGCAGAACATTATCCATGGGAACATCTGAAGTAGGGCTGTGCAATTAATCACAATCACAAAAAAAATCATGTTTTTTCACATGCAATATCTATACCACATAAGGCTTCAATTTTATCTGTTAATTTATTTAGATTTAATTTTGTTAAATTTTTTTTAGTTTAGACTTGTCCGCATAATTTAAATATTTAAAACAATCAGAGATGATGCAGGTCATGAGACAATTACAGCTAAGCTGAGCAGGAGAAAGATGTTAACCAATCAGAGCTCACCTTGTGCACAACAAACATCCTGCACATTGTTGGGCTGTAAGCACAACCCCTAGCTGTGGACATCGAATCCTCCTTGGACCCTGATACCACTCTCATGGAGTTTGAGCAGACGCATGCACATATACTAGCCACCACTAGAGTGAAAGCACCTCCAGCATTCAAAAGTGATCACTCAGAGAGTATAAGTGAGAAATGGTCTATAGCCTCCACTTCCAGAATCTTTCCTTTTTTGTGCCATCTTACAAATTTCCACTTGTTTATTCAATTTGTAAGCTGGTTGTCAATCAGTGTTGCTTCCTAAATCGGCAGTTTGAGTTTACAGACGTGATATTTTGTGTTACATTGTGTTGTTTGAATGTTCCCTATACTGTTTGAGCAGTGTATTCTTTGTTGAAACACACCATAGAAACACAATAGCTTACCTCAAAAAGGACTCCCACTTCTTGGTCTGGTGATGGAGCAAATGACTGATTGACATAAATGAACTGATGGAAAAGCAGGAAAAGCCACAGTCAGAGATCATCATTTTATGTCTAAATCATTTTTAAGTGTACATCTCCATCACACATCGGGCAAAAAATGATACACTCTGGAGAGGTGAGTCCATCACTGGGCAATATTCTCTTTCACATTCACTCCTTGGGGGAATTTAGCACCTTCAAGTTCAACTAAAGCATATTCTGTACCATAGGAAGAAACCAGACTGAAGTCTAGCTGCAGACTTGCACTTGCAGAGGCATGTGATTTATCTGGATGTGATGTCACCTGCCCTTTCTGGTGCCTGTGCCATTTGGAGGCATCATAAAAGCTGAATTTATTTTCTTTGGTATAAAAATTGATGAACAAGAAGCGTGGACGCTATGCACACTTCAAACTCTGGAAAAAAAAAAAGAATTACTTGGTTACTGCACCTTACTGTATTTTATCAACTGATTGACTTGAAAGTTTGAGGTTAAAATGGGTCTGAGAGTGCAAGTAATATCACTTCCAGAGGAAAACAGCTGACAGTGGAAGTCTGTAGTGCACTGGTTTAACTAAGAAATGGGTGGATCTGTATGACTTTTATTTTAGTATCTATGATAATATAATTAAAAATGTAGCTTTTTAAAAAATATATATTGTGAATGAACTGATGTTCTTACCAACTGTTCATTGGGCTCCATTTTCAGGAAGCGCAAGATGAACTGAGCGAGGGACTGGACCGTCCTTCTCCTCTCCACAGACCATTTCTTGGTCTTCATGATGGGCGTATCACCAACTGCTTTCAAGAGCACATCAACTGAGAGACACAATTGAGACAATTTAATGTACAGTGCTTCAAAAGAAGAACTTAAAATGAAGAAGCCTTTTACTTTAAATGCCTACAAAATTTACCAGTTAGCATACTGCACATTGCCAGGTTACTAGTTCTAATCTTGACAACGAAATACTTTATTTTGAAGCAACATTTACTTCCTTTCAAATAGAAGCATTTTACGGAGTAAACACGTCGCAAACATAACATCATTTTTGTTGAAGATTTTAAAACAAATACATTACCACTATACAGGTATATCTGCACGTGAGTTAAGATCATTCTATTATTAACTCGCAAGTGTAACGATGATTAAAAAAAATATTTATATATACTGTATTGTGAACCATTTTATAAGCAATTAATAAATACAATTCTTTTCTGCAGATAACGCTCTAAAATTATAGTACAGTGATAATGTTCCATCTCGTAAAGCAGAAGTGCAAAGCATACTTGACCATTGATTGGCTACCAAAAAAACAAACAAACGCCAATTGGCTGGAAGAGCTGTCAATCTTCAAGAAACCCAGGAAGTAGAACTCGCTGAGAAGTTCAATAATATAAACATCCTAGCAATGCTGGTAAACCTACATGTTACAGTTTGTATTGTTGTGTATTTTTGAAACCCCATACTTTTTTTCTTTTCGTCCAATAATCCAGTGTGTTCTGTCTGCTGTATCGAAGGTTCATCTTTCTGGTTTTCTGTGGGAGATTCTGCGTTGTCAGACATATTCCAACCAGCAAAACACAACCAGGGACACTAGGCGCACAGTCGACCGTGGGTTTCTTTTACAAATTAAAAGTCACTGATTCAGATTAAGAGTCTCCTCTCTAATATTTTACTACTGCGCTTAAATCATACGTTTCCTTTAGTTGTTAATTAAACAATAAATACATTTGTGTGTAAATTGAATGCAGTCTATTGAAATGTGAAATATTATTATTGCAGTACATTCTATCTTTCTCTGTGTTCAATGTGTCTATAAAACAACTTATGGGCTCTAGGTTTTATCTAACGAACCTATTTCCTTACATCAATAAGTCCAGAATCACGAAAAACCATATATTTATTGAATCAGTCATTATTATACAACAGTAAGTTGACTGTTTGTACTATTATACAAGCTGATTTTACAATCATGCTTGTTCTTATAGCAATATTATTTAGCTTTTTGTTTTCTTTTATTTCGTGATAAATCTGGTCTGGGGCTGAGACAACCCACTACTTGATTAGAAACCTATGTGTGACATCCCAGACACAGTTTACAGTCTATGGTTTTGGAATGTGGCTGAGAGGCTGCCGTAAGCTAGTTATTAGCTGGCATACCTAAAACCAGCTAGCACTTTCAAAAACTTGACAACATGCTGAATTTCCTGCTTGGGTAACATCTACTTTGTGAATTCTATGAGAGTACACTAACTTTTCTCTCCTTCAGTCATGCATTATTGCATGATGTATTTCAGAGTGATGTAAGCTGTGCTGAGAAAGAGGAAGTGATGTGATGCATAGCTCCACTGCAGCATCCTTGAATTCTCCTTCTCGACAGGAAATACACACAAACAGGCCTCCATAACACAAAGACTGTCCACCTCTTGTCTTTATTAGATAAACTTTCATTATGCTATAACAACTGCAGTGGCCTATTTCATATTTTAAACAGGATGCCTTATGTAATCCACCTAATATTAAAATTCTTAAAATAAATAATTTTTCTAATACACTGTGGCAAAATTGTTGCAAATCCTAATGTTTTGGAATTTATGTTTTTGGCAATGAAAAACAGATGGGAAAGTCAAACTGTAAGAAATAAATGATTTTCAAACAAGTGGTACTTCTATAATATTAGACATGTCAATTAACAGATGTGGGCAAAATAGTAATGTAGATGGAGAAGCCAAATTAACTAAAAATTACAAGGAAGGTCTATTCAAATAATGGATAAATAACCTATATTTCTTTCTCCCAATTCATGCTAATCTGCAGACCCAGGGTACAATAGTGTCCGCTGTCTAGGATATTATCGTTTTTCCAAGACATGAAAAAACCCAAGACTGGACTTTGCCAAATGTATGTGTTAAAAGCAGACTGCTTCTTGGAGGACGCAATGCAGAGAGATGTAACAACAGTAGAGCTTTTTGGTACAGATAACCATGGCACTGTTTAGAGAAAAAAAAAAAGAAAATTGCAAAGAAAACAGCACCAGACCCTATGGTCAAACATAGTGGCGATTTAAGGCTGTTTTAGGGACACCTTCACTGATGATTGCCAAACCATTTTGGGGCACAATATAACAGCCAGTCAGAAAACTACATCTCCACCAGAGGTAGAAGATCTTTCACCTGGAAAATTACCAACAACACTTCTAAAAGCACTTAGAAATGAACAAATCGAACATTTCTAAAAATGGCCTGATCTAAATTCCTGTGAAGAAATCATGATGAAGTTATTGTGCTTGATTTATAGTCTACAATTAATGAGAGAGAGAAGCTGAATCTAAACAATGACTTTGGACAACTTAGTTGCATGTTGAGTGGTCGTTCTCCAGGGGCATCGCAACCATGTGTGATATGGGTGTTTAAATAACCACACTTTTCTTAGATTGAGGGTTCGACTTTCCTAACTTTTCCATCTGTTTTCACCGCACTCAAGACATTTACAATACACGCATGTCATGTCTGTCTAGGACAGAAGTAAAACAGACATTAGCTCAGAGCAGATGTTTATCTGTCAAAGCCCACCTTCTCCAAATCTACTTCTTTGTGGTGGGGCCCATTTTTTGATTTTTTTTTTTTTTAAGTTTTAAAATATAATATTGACATGAATTTATACATCACAAAACATTGCATAATTATGAATGTTATATGTAGTATACAACAGTAGCTCTTGTCTGGTTGGGCATGTGGTCTGGGTAATGGTAATCTATGCTTTCCTACGTATCTTCCAGTTTTGTTTATTCGTTATCGTTGAATAAGTGCATTTCATTGTTTTTTATGCTTACATAAAACATTGGGTTGAGCACTGGAAGTTTGTGCTGTCTAGTACTGGGTTCAACCTGTATGCTTTTTGTCCAGTCTATTGTTTTCCTCCTCTATCCATACATTAATTAGTACATGCACATATATGTATGCATTTGGCAGACGCTTTTAAAAGCAACACACAGTTTGAATGAACACATTGATTCAGTTGCTTTCCCTGGAATTTGAACCCAGGATCTTTGCATTGTTAACACAGTGCTCTACCAACTGAGCCACAGGAAAGCTAGTGGAGTTTATGTTTGGCTTCACTGGCTGTGTGCTTGTCAATTAACTGCAAACAATTAGTAAAGCTCATGTTCTGTCTTTTGTTATTTCCTCAAGTGTTCTTTGAGCACATGAGTTTTGTTATTGTTTGCCATGTGCTCTCCTTTTCAATGTCTACTCCACCCCTTTTGTCACAGTGTACTGATTATTTGCCCCACCTGTCTCCTACTCATTCTTCATTAAATGAGTACTTTATCAAATGTGAACTAAAACAAACTCATAGTTGCCCAGACAAATCTGATATTTGATTCCTCTTTGTTAACAGAAAAGAAAACTGAAAACACTGGGTGGAAAACCCTGATCTTCAATGTACCGGTAATGTTGACGGACTGGATTCTTTGTGTTTCTTCAATAGAAATAAAATCAAACACATTGTGCAAACAGTTCAGTTGACTCTGCACAATGAGAAAACCCCAGACAAACTATTCTTTTCGAAACGACATATTTCCTAATAATAATAATTACTTTCTCAAAGTTATACATAAATCAAGCAGTTTCCTTGTTGCATGTACAGTTGTTCTCATAAGTTTACACAGCCTGGTAAATATGAAAGATAACACAAAAGTTTCCAAATTACCCTGATCTTAGTGTTAAGCCAAGTTTTTTTTATGGTTTTCATAATAAAAAATAACAAGGATGGAGTAAACACAGTGGTACTGCCTCTCGGGCACCCTGGTTTCCTCTGACAGTTCAAAAACATGCTTTGGTTGAATTGAAGACTCTGATTTCATGTTTCTCATTGTTATGAGGAACCCCAGTAGAGTTTACCTCTGGCGGAGATTCTTCTCCTCATGGGAAAAATTTTACGAATGTGCTGCATAGTGTCTGTCCTATCTAGTAAATCAGTACCATATAAACGACAGACCTGCAACTTCTAGATAAAACATTGATGCCTTTCACCAGCACACACAATGTAAACAAAAACATCCATCACATTTGTGATGATCATTTCAGTAATGAAATTGAATATGGCAATATGCTCAACAATGTTGATATTTGGAAAAAAAATTCAACAAAATTTTGTAAAATTTGGTAAAATTTATTGATTGTTCAGTATTTATTAGCATATATTTTTTTTCATGCTGTATCATAATCTGGCACTTTATTAGGTACACCTTTATTGGAAACATTCCTCAGAGAGTTTGGTCCATATTGACAAGATAGCGTCACACAGTTGCTTTGTGTAAGATCTGATGAGGGTGGAGGCCTTTTGAGTACGGTGAACTCTTTGTCATGTTCAAGAAACCAGGTGAATCACACTTTATGACATGGTTCGTTTTCATTTTGGAAGTCAGAAGCCATCAGACGATGTGTACACTTTGGTCATAAAGTGATGGACATGGTCAGCAACGAAACTCACGGTGGCTGTGACATTGAACCGATGCTCAATAGGTACTAATGGTCCCAAAGTGTGCCAAGAAAATATCCTTTACACCCTTAAGCCATCACCACCAACAGCCTGACAGATGAAACAAAGCAGGAAAGATCCATAAAGATTGAGAACCAGTTTGTTAGAGCAAAATTTATTTTATATAAATTGACTGTTCAGCAGTGATGAATAGGGATATTAATAAGTGTAGCCTGTAATTATTGACAATTAAAAAACATTACAAAATCTCAATGAGGACACAACAAGTCACAATATACAATCAACAAACACAAACAAAAAATCTGAATAGTCTACATGGTACACAACTGAAAATGGGACATCCAATTTTGTGGCATAATTAAAAGATTTGCATTGATTAAACTTCAACAAAAGAGACTCTTGAATTTACTGATAAGATGACGTATTACTTCTCCATTTACAACAATGGATGTAGTATTTAATTAGTAGTATTGAAGCATTTACAAATTTATGTGGTGAAATTAAAAATGTGGAAAGTTCTAACCAAAATGTAACTTATTTTTAAATTCAGCGACTGGGTAAGTTTATTATCTCGAAATGGTTTTCTGTAACTATAGGTAATGTTGGCTATTTAAAGAGTTTAGAAAAGCCATTTTTAAATTTTGGGGTCAAATTGTTAATCAAGGTAGAATTTATACTATCGACAAATTCGTAACTGAGCAACTGGACGACGGGCGTAACGTCTGTCCCACTACGTGCATTCTGCTGAACACTCAAAGGGTACTTTTTCTACAAAAAAACAAAAGGCACCTACAACAAATCCATACTTTAGGTATGCAGCGACACAGTGCATGCGTATGGAATAAACGAAACAAAAACTGGAGACTTTGGTAGAGCTCGAGCTCTGTTTCAGCCAGCTCTCCTGGAACCAAAGCATTTCCATGGGGCTGACGTCACTTCCTCGCCCATCCCTAAAGGAAAAGAAACATCGGAGAAGAGAACGTCGCTAGAAAACTGACTTCAAGTATCAAAATATTTTAAAGAATTTCCTTAAATCGGAGTGATTAAATACAGCTGGCCAGCACAGAGGGATCAGAGTAAGTTCACATCCATCGTTTCTTCAGGGTTCACTTCGAGGGCTCGCTAAGCCCGCGTAACTTTTGCAGCAACTCCCACTTCAGAGCATCAAACTATGCTTTATGAAACGCACATGTTTAATATGTGTTTGCATACCCTTCAGCCTCACCGGGCAGGGGCACGTACAGAAAAGGGTAGCTCTTCTGCTAAATAATACCGGTAAGAGTTTTAGTGGTGGGATAGCTCAATTTAGTTTTCTGCTGATGTGTATAAATGTTGTTTATTTAGCGTCGGTGTGGACTTGAAAATACTTTGTTTCATCCGAGTTTAATAGCGTTGGATCTGGCGCCCCGAGGTAATGCTCTTTCCAGCTGTTGCAGTTGTTTATGAGTTGATCAGGTCACATAAACGGTTCCTTGAGTAACAAATATTTTCTAACGCTGCTAGAAATGTTCTCTGACGTGACATTACAGTTGAGATTGGTCACATATCTAAACAACGAGCGAAATTTCAAGTAGGCATCAATACGCTTAAAAAATGTACGAAGAACAGCCACATCCGCTGGTCCCAAGGAGTTCTGGTTCTTGTTTCCCTGAGACTGAGCAACTGGTGCTCCAGAAATCGCTCCAGGGAAGAATGCAATGCATTAAACCACGCGTTTCACACAAGTCCCAGCTTGGCTTCTGGCGTCCCTCAAAGTCTCGTTTTCACAAGCTTTGCGCAATCACATCTCATCTTTTTAAGTGAAACTGGTGAAATATCATGTTAAGAAGTTGTATACATCTTCGTTACGGAGTAAAAACTTGGATGCTAAATGTTAAATAGTAATTTGGCTTTAATATTTGAGATGTAATGATGAATATGGTTAGATGGATATCAAATATTGTAATGTTTCAGATGAGCTGTAGAACAACTTAATTTTAACAAAGCGAACATTATGCTTCACGATTTTCTGTGAGGTCAAGTGATTTCAATAGTGCCCATTGATTTCTCATTGATCCTACATTTAAATTTGCATTGTTCAGACGACACAGTTGTTCCTAGGAATAGTATAAATATAGGTAATCTTAGTCAAGTTCAAACATACAGCCATATGTCATCAGTTGCATTCAATCTCCCATTTTGAGAAGTTCTCCAGGATGCATCATGTGATTGAGAAGTGTGGAAAGTGTGTACAATCCAGATTCTCTCTGAAAAGAGGTAGATCAACCAGGTATTTCTCTGTCCTTCTTTTCACATAATTTAGATCCACTCATATATGATGTTTTTTCTTATGACCAGTACACAATGCTCTCAATGTTCATTCATTCATTCAATATTGTTCCCCTTTGAAGTCTGCTGGTGCCTATCTTCAGTGTACTTTGTGAGAGAGGCGGGTGTACACCCTGGACAAGTTGCCAGTTCATCTCAGGGCAACACACAAATCCATTCCTGAGAGAATTTACAGTATTCAATTAACCGGACGCATGCTTGGGCATTGTGGGGGAAACCAGAGTACCTGGAGGAAACCAACGCAAGCATTGCGAGAACATGCAAAAGGCCTTCATTGAACCTTGAACCAGCAACCATCTAACTGAAAGGCCACAGTGCTATCCACTGCGACACCGTCCTGTCTGATCTCACTCTAGTGTTGAAATATTGCATAATCCATCTTTTTTGTATCTCACTGTTTCTCCTGAATATGAGGTTTGACCATCAGTTATATTCTTACCACTAAAAAAATGGACTTTCCCGGACAGGCTGAGAAGTGTATTCCCCCTTATAAATGGATTATACATATTTCTTATTACATCCACCATCCAGCAATGTCTTCATTCTTTAGTGTTGGTAGAACCACCTTTCCCCTTCAGAGGTTAGCCAGAATTTCTTTTGGGGCTGACCAGTCAGTAGTGCTTAACCCTAATCCTGTAACAGTCAGATGTTCCAGGTGCCTCGTGATCTTGCCAAACTCGACTAAACTCCTACTTTGTTCTGATAGACTCCCTTACGTCTAATGTCCACCACAGGATCATAATTGTTGCAATTTTCCACACAAAATTAGATTAATCATTCTTTTTAGATTCAATGTCCCCTGGGTTCTAGTTGAAGCGTATCGGTTATGGTCATCAATTGACTGCTCTGCCCCTCTCTTCTCTTAAGCGTACAAGATATTGCTGGGGTTTTGACCATCATTAACCATCCTTAAACAGTGGATGGACCACTTGGAGCACTGACTTGAATAGATGTCCAATAACAAAACTCCCTTCTAGTAAAGATTGGGAAGATCATTGGTGGACTCTCCCAGTTGAGGCAATCGTCGGCACATCATAGAGATGGTAGCTGGTGTCAGAGTGAATTACTTCACTCAAATACGTGCAAATCTATTTATAACATTATTGATAAAATTATTGTTGGTCTCCCATTCCAGAAATTAATGTACATTATATGTACACATTCAAAATCAGGGTTCAAATTCTTCTTTCTCTAACTTGTCCAGGAGAACTTTTTAGTAGCCATTTTTTTTATTTAAAGGAACAGATTTTATGGAAATTATGA